GAAGGGGAGGGGGAAGAGAGAAAGAATAATAGAGAAGAAAATACTCCGTAGAAAAGATGGGGGAGGGAGTGGTTGAACCGTGTGAGAGAAATGAAAAGAGTAGGGGTGATTGAGTAGAAGAAATGGAGGAAAAGAAAAAAGGGTATTTTTGGAAGAGTGTTGATAAAAAGGTAGACTGGGAACTTTATTTACGGACGAAAAAAAGCGTAGACTGGGAACTTAAAATCCGGACGGAGGGAGTATTATATTTATTTTGTATTAAATATTACTCCCTCCGTCCGCCTAAGATGTTCTCATTTTGACTTTTGGTGGTTTTTAAGGAGAGTTGAAAAAAGGTGAAAGTTTACCATAATACCCTTAATGAAAAATGGGTGGAGTGTATTAAATGAGGTGGGTGGGGTGTAATAAATAAAGTAAGTGGGGGTAGTTGTGGTATTTTACTTGTTAAAAAATGAAATGAGAAGATCTATTGTGGACAAAGAAAAAGGGCTATTGGGAAGATCTATGGTGGACAGAGGGAGTATTATAATTATAAGTAGATCAAATTGTTATCAATAAATGATAAAAAAAAATCATATTGTTTTAGGGGGTGTATTCAATTCAAATTTTAAAAGATTTTGATAGATTATTTAAAATCAAAGAATTGTTTTAAGTCTACGTAGAATTAGATAGATTATAATGTATTTTGCAATAGGATTTTATAGGATTCTCGTTGATTGTTTATTATGTACAAATTATTTTTTCTTTTTACTTTATTCCTTCTTTTTTCCTTTCTCAATTTTTTTGCACACCTCTTTCTTTCTTTCTGGGTTTCTCCGTCCAAATCTTCTCCTCTGCTTCTTCTTCTATTTTTCCTTCTTGCTTTCTTATTTCTTCTTCTCATCTTTCTTCTTTTTTTCTTCCTCTCCACCAGCGCAGAGGGAGGAAAAATCCCCCTAGGACAGTGCCACCTTCGCCACCGTCATCCTTAATTTCCATCGAGATGATTACTCGGACTTGACCACGGTTCGACCCGTCAAAGCCGGATATGATGACCTTCAGCACAACAAAATGACGGCGGTTACAGGATTGTGTTGCCACCTCCCTCCCTACTTCACTCTCTCGAACGATTCTCACTCGCAGGCCCATCTACAAATTCAGTCATTCCCGATCCTATGCCATCGTCATCCTCAATCTCTAAGATTTCTTGTTTTGATTTTGAGAGTTTGGGTTTGTATGGGGAGATTGAGGGAGGGGATGACCGGAGAAGATGAAGAACCGTGCGGGAAGAAGAGAAGAAAGATGAACAGATTTAGAATTCACACAAAATCCGTAGGCTTTTGCTTGGATTTGAAAACAAAATTTTTATTTGTACTTCAAGTTTAAAATCCTTTAGTATCCATATTTTATAACAATCCTTCAAAATCTATAATTTTTTCAATATCTTTAGATTTAGAAAGATTATTTAAAATATCTGTTGAATACCTACGAATTTTAAACGATTTCTTAAAATCTCAATTAAATATCCATATACTTTTAAAATCCAAAAAAAATCCTATAGAGTTTCGATTGAATACACCCTCCTTAGTTTTTTTATTCACCACTAGTCATTTATTATACTACCTCTGTCCCAATGTATTCGTTCAGTTTGACTTTTTTGAGTCAAATTGAACGAACTTTGAACCTCAATTAAATAAAAATGGTAATGTATTTTATATAATAACTATTTCAATAAATTTATCTTGTTGAGAACTTTTAAAATTTTAATTTATTGTATTGATATGCAATACAAATTGAGAATAATTAATGATTAAAGTGCGTCCAGTTTGACTCGAAAAAGTTAAATTGGATGAATACACTGGGACGGAGGAAGTATTTATTTTGTATTAAATATTTTTATAATTATACGTAGATCAAATTATTATCAATAAATTCTAAAAGGTTCATATATATTAAGAGAAATCTATTAATTTGAAGTTCAATAGTTGATATATTTTTAAATAATTATAATATTTATTTTGTATTAAATATTTTATAAATAAAAGTAGATCAAATTATTTTCAATAAATGTTATAAATCTTGATATTGTATTAGTTTTTTACTTTCTATTAACTTTTCAATAAATAAATGATTTTCTTTCTTTTTTATCCTACTGACTGATTGTTTAAATAAATGCTTGAAATTCTAATTTTGTTTTAATTTGTTTTGCATTTAATTCTATTGAATAATTTTTTAAATATATTTTTGTTGATCCCTTGACAAATAACATAATTTTTTAGATCTTCTTACGAATTTTATGATTTATAATTGACATGATTATAACATTTTGTTTTATAAAAAATATTCATATACATATAACAAAATTTTATTAAAATTTACAAATTCTATTAATTCTAAATTTCGATGCATGAATTCAAAATAATTAATTATCATTTTTTAAAAACATAGTAAAAAAAAGATGAAATAATTGAAGAAGGAGAAGGAGATGATATACTAAAAAAGAAAATAAATCTTTAAAGATTGACACATGTCATTCTCTAAATATTAACACACGTCGCTCTCTCAAGTTTGACACATGTCATTCTTTTAGAGACTAAACTCTTAAATTTATATATAAAAGATAAAGGATATAGAGATTTCATTATTTTAAAGTACAAAAGTTAAATAACTTATGATTTTCAAAAGACTACTTT